ATGCTTTATGTGTTTCTGTGGAAGTAAACACAAGCAGCTGATTGGAGCTGAAAACAGATGCAGAGATGTGCACCTTTTATACTGTCCACACAGAGGTCACACAGGAGGTCACAGTTCTGAAGGGTTATGCTTGTTTTGTTTTTCACCGCATCCATGTTCATTAACTTTACAAACTTGATGACTACTAAATGAAAAGTAAAACAGGACTGAACTATGATACGTGTTACACTCCAGATATGTTTGGACGAGTGGAGACCAGATCCAACCTCATAATGTAAGTTTCTATTTTTAACCAATTCTGGCCCTTTGTACATTTGTGTAGAAGTGCATGAAGTGGTGCAGTACACTATCACAAGATCGTATTAATACATGTACATAAAACTGCATGAAAGATAACCCCTGTGAAGGTATGATTTTATCATTCTTGTAGTTGAATTGTTGTTCTCTGTGTATGCTAAATTAGCCCTGTATCTGTGTTTAACAGACGTAATTGAGCGGTGCACTCTCCAGTTACTCCAGAGTCTGATGAGGTCCCCCATGTCTCTCTCCCCTGTCACACTCCTAAAATAAATCTGCTCTACTTAGAACTCCTATATTCATATCAGCACGCCCATTGAGCTCTGATTAGTTTAAAGGTATAATAATAATAATAATGGATAAATTTTATATAGTGCTTTTTTGGACACTTAAAGATGAAGTATATATGCGTGTCTTTTCTTGTGACTGGCTCCTTATCGGTAAATTTCTAATAAAGCATCTGGTGTCATTTCTTAATGATTTAGTTATTCCATTCTATAGAAGGATGTGAGTGTGTCTGGTCTAAGGCCGTATGACCTGATGTTTGATTTACTCTCTGTATCAGACAGTGTTCAGCAGATGCACCCGGCGTCCTTAATGATTCAGCAAATAGTTGTGTCTGTGTCTGTGTGTGATGTGTAGCTTTGCCCTTTCTGTGTCTGGGCTCAGGGCAAATATACATCTGTCCAATATGTTAAATTTTATTATATTGCATTAAGGTTGTTTTTTTTTCTTTCATTGTGCGCTGCCCTGGTGTCTGTGCCCGGTTTGTCCTCAGTGAATCAGATTTGTCTTTTCAAACAGAAAGGTCCTTCCTATATTACACAAAATTGACTCTTGAGAGATTGAAGCCATGTTATAATGTTGTTACCTCCCCAAAAACATCCTGGAGTTGTGTTTAGTTTCATTTACACATGTTAGAGTAAACTTTTTATTAGTAGGTTGTCTACATCTCCAAAGCTCAAGATGCTCTGTTCCACCTTGTGATGTCATAGTGGTGGTTTTCAAGTGAACAGCTCCGTTTACCTTTAGTAGAAATGAGAAATTCCAGGTGTATGGAGTTTGAAAACACAGTGGAACACAGCACTTCAGTGAGGTAATGGGACAGGATGAAATATAATGTAATATAGTAATTATCGTGACTGAATAATACATTTTATATCAACTTTAATATTTATCGTGAATTTCTTTGCCAAAGTGGTAGATGTTTTTCCGTTTTTATCTAAGAAAAGTAAAATTTGAGATGTAGAGATTTGAATAAATCACTTCTATTACCAATTATTTGTTTCTTTGTTGGACTTTTTAATGATACTGTCTATTTATATAATGATGTACCGGAATTATCTTGCTTTATTGTTATTGTGGCATAACGTAGTTTCAGTATTATTCTTTCTTTTTATATATATGTTGCAATATATATTGATTTGATATCATGACAGGTCTAGTATTATTCATCATGATTTGACCGGATTCCAAAGATTCAAAAAGTTTTAACTTAAAAAAAATAAAATAAAATAGTCAATGTTGCATTCACATATGCTCACTGTTTCACAACCATAGCCTATTAAATACAATAAAAACTAATTTCATAAATAATAAATATTCCACGTGGAACTATGTCTTATTTAAAAGAACAGCTGTGGTGTGAAGTCTGTTTTTGGCTCTTGGGACTTTGTAGCATCGGTCTGATGGGAGGAGTTCAGGAGCACGACTTCGTGGGCGGGGTCAGCGGCAAGAGGTCACACCTTCTTTTCAGTTGTTTCATGTTGAACTTGTGCCAGATTGGCCTGGAGTTTTTTGTAATTTTTTTTGCCTGCTTTATGATTCTGGAAAGTTTATTCTTATATTATATTTTTATTTGACAATCGAACAATTGTTTTAGTGTGAAACTGTCTCATAATGCTTTGCCTTTTAGTAAGAAAACAGTTTGGTTGCCTGACCACCCACAACTCTATTTGATCATAAACGGGGACAATAAAGGTCAAAGGTCACAGTACATTTACAGTACACACTCATGGAGTGTGGAGTAGTACTTTGGTATATACAGTAAACACATAGTATTCTGTACATTAGAGACAGTTTGACGTATGGGCTCACACAGGTAAGACAGGATTGCAGCCAAAATTGATTGATACTCATATTATTTGATACTACTTCTAGTAGTAGTAGTTGATACTGGATATTGAATTCAGCAGGTATTGATTAGAGCTACATAATTCATTGAATCTAATACACAGTTACGCAATTATCAAATCAGAAAGTGCAGAGGAAATTCTATTATCTAAATAATTGCAAAGAACAAAATATCCCGTGTTCTTGTTTTAAAAACTCTTTGTTGTACCTGTAGTTTAGACCTCTACAAATATGTTGTGAAATGTCAGTCTCCTCTCAAATGTTAATGCTCCTGGATCTGTTCATGTGTTTTTCCCCAGACAATTTGCAGCCCTAACATCAGTACTGAAAAAACAACAACAAAAAAACAATTATTCTGTGTTGAAAACTACATTGTATTACATATTGTTAAAAGCTGTGTAGAATGAAATTTTTGTTTTAATTTTAGTATCAGTAACACTCAAGAGCAATAGTTTTTGCCATCACTGTCCACTACAGTCAAATGTTTCTTTACATATTGCCCTGTGTATAATAATCTAGATGAGGGTGGAAGGTAACAAAGTACTGTACTTGAATAGATTTTTCGGTATCTGTACCTAAAACAGTTTGTTACATTTTACAGTTGGTACTTTTTATTTTTACTTAATTAAATTTGAGAGTAAATAGACTGTGACCCAATATGCACATCAATTTAAATTATGTATTTTGTATTCACTGTTTTCTTTTTATTATTATGGACAGCTATTTATCACATTGTTGGAAATCTGTAGACGCCAAAAAGGTCCATGGGTAAATCCTTTATTATTGGCTCTATTCACGCTTACGTCACAAACCAGGAAGATGTTTGGAAACATGCCATGACAACTTCCCGTGGACCCTATTCGCAGTAGTAAGTCTGACAATATCTAGAAAAAATAAGAAAATGACTCAGTTTTTTTCATCTCCATGTCATTGTAGCGTTCCATTGTATTCAGCTAATCAACAATTACAACCACACCTTAGTTTTCAGCATTTTAATAATAAATAAATAAAATTATAAATAATGAAATTAAAATTTAATTCAATTTGTTGGCAAATAAGATACCCTGGTAGCCAAACAAGTACTTCTCTACAAAGAACTTGTAGTCTTTCTCTAGATTTCGAGCTGTCTGTAAGTGACATGGAAGATGTGATTATAGAGTCATGTTCCCCATGGAAAGTTCTGGCAGGTTATGAAGACAGGCCGCTGCCAAACGTTACTGAATCCCTGGTTTTATCAAACTTAATGGATTTTATCACAGTTGGTCGGTGAGGCCAGTGTCGGTAACTACACCAGAAGTTGTCATCACATGTTTGTTGCCATTGCACGTCTCCCTGGTTTGTGACGTAAGCGTGAATAGAGCATCTTAGATCAACAACATGGGTAAAAGTTATGGACTCATATATTAGTTAAGGTTTAAGGTTAAGGTTGGCAAATAGTGATTGTGATTAAAGGAACTGTAAGTAAGATTTAGATTTTGAATTTCCTACACTTGACCAATCTGCATCCCCATATACAGCGTAAATATATTTAAATCAAATATAGCTTTAACTGATAACTACTGTAATAACTATTTATTCTTATTTACAAAAATGTTTGACATAATGAACAAGTTGTTTATGTTATAATTTGGTGTTTGGATAATTATTATGTGAACCCAATCAGAAAGCAGATTCACATGAGTAATTTTTGTTGCCAGTTTCAGAGTTTAAATTCAGTTGGTTTAAACCCAAAATGTGTCTCTCTGATTTGAATGGTCACTACTTAAACCACAGCTCCTGCAGTCATCATAAGTCAGTGCTAGTGCAGCCACTGCAGCTCAGGGAGGCAATTCTGGAGTTTCTGAGCTTTCACCTGAGGTCTGTCCATGTACTGAGAATGAGAAACACTTGTACTTGTCCTCAGATGAGATTGCAGTACTTTTTCAAATAGTAAGACCACAGGAAGTACATGCAGTTCATTTAATAGTAGTAACAGCAGCAGAAATAGTAGCAGTAGTGGTTGTAGTAGTAAGTTCTCAGGGTTCATTTGCAAGCAATAAAATACATGTAATTGATTAAAGGACGCTTATTATACTGTTTCTGATTTATGATATGTTTCTTCATCGCAAACATACCTGGAGTTGTGTTTTGTTTTAATCACATGAACCCTGAATTTTTAGGGAGTTCATCTCTCAAACTGAAAATACTCTGTTCCACCTCGTGATGTCATGTCGTAATACAGGAAGTGCTCCACTGCGCCCTGGAATTGCCAGTCTCCACTGAACTAAAGGTCAAATGCAGCTGTTAACTTCACTGTATATATTGTAGCTCCTTTTTAAAACAGAGCACTAGTTTCATACAAGTGTGTTACAGCCCACAACCCCCACATTAAATAATCATAAATATCCATATTGTATCTTTGTATGTCATTTATATCTATCTTTGTATGTTTTGTCAAGAAAAATCTTTAATAAAAATACATTTTAAACCAAACTCTGTGAATGTCTTTTTTTTGTGATTAAACCCCTGCTCTTCTGGTCTAGTTGTTGTCTTACATTTGTATTGAACGTCATGTGTTTTGTGTGTTGCAGGTGCCCCCGGGTCAGCTGGCAGCCCCCCTGGCGAGCCCCCCCGCCCACCCCGTCCTGGGCCTCCTGTCGCCCACATCTGTCCCCACAGAGACCACTCCTGTCCTAGAGTTGAGTCCAGCTGCTAACACCACTGCAAGTAAGAGTCTGACACGCTACAGCTCGGGTGGAAGGTAGCAAAGTACAAAAGTAAAAGTACTACATTTGAGAGCAGGTATCTCTACTTTCTACTCCACTACATTTTAGATCTGGACTGAAAAGTAAAAAGTACTTATCTTTATGGTTTGAGACATTCTGAAATGGCTGAGACTTTATTTTGAGCACATTTAATTTGAGTTTACATCCCAACTTTGAGCAAACCAAACGCACAAATACACAAAAACAGCTAGACATTGTAAGAAATCAATTGAATCACTTAAAATCAGCTATTTTTTTCCCTTTAATTGTTCAAAAATTCTCTGCAAAATACTTTTTACTCTTTAAATACATTTTTAAACTTTAAAAATTAATACCTTTATTTAAGTATATTTTTTATGTGATACTTTTATTTTTACTTGAGTAATTCTTGCCCTTGTATCTGTACTTTTACTCAAGAAACAGAACTGAGTACTTCTTCCATCACTGCCCTACAGTACTGTATATATGCTGTACTATCTACAGGTTCTACAAGTTGTATTGTGTTGGCTGGAGATGTTTTTACGATCATTGGTCACATCTGTATTTAGTACCTGAACATAGAAAAACATTTGCAAGTAAAAAGTGTGTGGTTGGATCAACACTTTTTTTATTACAACATAGAAAATGATGTGTGGATACAGAAATAGAGTTCCAAAGTGACCCAGTTTCCCAAAGACTTTCCAAAAAACATGTATTATCAACTATCAATCAATCAAACTTTATTTATAGAGCGCTTTTCATACAAAAAAAAATGCAACACAAAGAGCTTTACAGTGATTAAAAACAATCCCACATTTCCTTTCACTCCCCTTCACAAAACTCAACTAAACAGGTGGGTCTTGAGATTACTATAATTTTTTACTACTAACAATCTGGAATCTGACATAACTATCTATTAAATTATCAATTAATCGTACTATATTACACAAAATTGACTCTTTAATTGAGCTTTAAGTCATGTTATAATGTTGTTACTTCGTCAAAAACAGACCTGGAGTTGTGTGTTGTTTCATTCACATGTTTAAGTAACTCTTTATTATTAGTCTGTCTGCATCTCCAAAACTCAAAATGCTCTGTTCCTCCTTGTGATGTCATGAAGCAGTTGTTTTCAAGTTAACAGCTCCTTTTAACCTTTTTGTTCAGTACAAAAATGCCAGTGCCAGGCCTGAAAACATCAAAACGAATGATTCTAGTGAAGGTTTATAGAGTTTAAAAACACGGTGAAGCGCTTCCTGTATTACAACATGACATCTCAACACAAGATGGAACAGTGTTTTCTGTTTTAGAGAAAAACACAGATTAAATTTGTGTGTTTGTGTGTGAATGAAACAAAACACAACTTCAGGAAATGAGGAAACAACATTTCAACATAGATCAGAAAATAGTTGAAAGCTTTGTGTGGGCTAATCAGATCTTGTGGCATTTAATGACCACATATTTTTTATAAACCTGCTTCAAGACACTTTGTAAACCACTAAGTTATTAACCCATTTCACAGAATTTAAAGTTTTAAGTGTGCTTTTTGGATCAAAAATGGATATGATGGATATAGGCTCTATTCACGTTTGGAAAGATGCGATGACAACTTCCAGTGGGCTCTTTTCGTGGTAGTAAGTCTGACTAAATCTAGGAAAAATGAGAAAATGGCCCAGTTTTCTTCATCGACATGTCATTGTAGCGTTCCATTATGTTCGGCAAATCAACAGTTACAACCACACCTCAGTTTTCATCATTTCCCCACTGACACAAAACTCAGACTCACTGGGTACATGTGATTAGAAGAGACGAGGCTCCAAATTCAAGATTATTCCAAACAGCACATATGAATGCAGTCTTCATTTTACCACTGATCACATTTACTTCAGTGGGTTTGATCACAGTCAGTTGGCGAGCCCAGTGTCGGCAACTAAACTGGAAGTTGTCATCGCATGTTTCCAAATGTCTTCCTGGTTTGTGACGTAACCGGGAATAGAGCTTAATAGTTACCCTAAAGCTTGTTAGTTATAGTTGTGCTTTTAAACTCAAAAATGTGAATAGGATGAAATATCTTAGACTTAAACAATTTTTTGATCCACAAGGGAAATTATTTGGGCACAGCAGCTCACACATCACAATATATTATGATAATAAAGAGTAAAAGATATAAATGGTAATAATAAATTCTAAATAAGTAGCACAATCTAAAAAATAAATGTCTTTTTTGCTACAACTTTGACTCTAACATTCAACTTTTTTTTTCCCAACAGAAATCCTCAAATCTCCCGACATCTCTTCCACCTCCTCTTCTACCGAAACACCCTCCTCTTCTTTATCTGCGGACCCCAAACCCGACCCCAACCTGGCGTCCCCCGTGAACCCAGTCCCGCCCTTCGCCATGCCGCCCGGCCCGTTCCCCCCGCCCGGGATGCCGCCCCCGGGCATGCCCCCCTTCATGCCCCCTCCCATGGGCCGGCCCCCCATGATGCCCGGCGGACCCATGTTCCCCCCGGACCGCTTTGGAATGCCCATGCCCTTCCCCCCTCGCGGCCCACCCTTCCCCAGACCCGGCATGGACATGGGACCGTTCCGACCGGGATTCGGACCCCCGCCTTTCAGACCAAGATGGTAGAACTTTTAATTATAATTTTTTTAACCCAGTCTTTGCCAAAATGGAAGGACATGAATTCTGAGAGGTACTTGTAAATACTGTTAAATACTGTACATGTGTTGACTCTTTTGTATATTTGTATCGGTCTAGTTTCTTTGCTGACGGGACAAAGAGATATTTTTGATATAATTTCTCAGTTTCTTCATGATCTTTTGGAAAAAAAAACTAACTTAAAAAACATTGTCAACAAGTTTATTTGGAGAGATCTTACATGTGGCCACTAGAGGGCGGAGTGTTCATAGTGGCACGTCTTTGTTGTACATTAAGGTCATAGCAAAGAAAAAAACTGTGTGAATATTAAAAAAGAAAAAAAGAAAATTTTGTCTTTTTGTGTTGTGTATTTTTGCGTTATATTTATGTAAAAAAAAATCATCCCATTCAATAACTTTTCTGTTGGACCACACCACCTTCATGTCTCCAAAAAGATGTTATTGTTTTTTGTTTGGAATATTCCACAGTACGACATTAAAGTTTACGGGTTACTTAACAATTTACAGGTCAGATCTGTGAAGAAGCGACCCCGCTCACAGTAAGAAGGCATGTTTTGAAAGAGATTTTAAGCAATAAAAAAAATAGATAAGTTGATAAGATGTTGTAGTGTGGGACATTCTAGGCAAAGCAATGTCATCTCCATGGAGACACGATATCACGATATGCATCTCACGGTACGATATTTATTGTGTTATTTTGGCGAGGCTGATATAATTGTAGATGGGACACTTTTTTGCTTTTAAAATACCTTGACAAGATTTTGGTGTGAATTATTTCCGTCATAATCCCAAGAATTCAAGTCAAAACATATTTCTTCATGTTGTCTGCACTGAAATGAATCATGGGATATGTAGTTCACTTTGTTTATTAACTATTGCAGCTGTAAAACAATACATTTAAGCAAAGGAACTTGTAAATTTTATATGTTGTGACAGCCCACGGTATTATTGTGAGACTTCTGACGACGCAATATCACTATATTTCAGTTATTGTTACATCCCTACTTCTGAGTATTGATGTAACTGTCAGATGTCCTGCTACAATGAGATGGAAACAGTGAAAATGCAGATTTTTTTGGGTTCAGTTGTAGAAAAATTGTATACAGTGTTAAATATGAGGTCAAACTTAACCCATAGCAATACTTGAAGGTCCTATATTACGTTAAAAAAAGTACAATATACAATTATAGAATTATATTGTATCCTCCAATTAACTGATGAATTTTGATATACCTAACATGCCTAAAACTACTTATAAAAAAATAAACTAAAATTTACTAAAAGGTCCTATATTACACAAAATTGACTCTTGTGGGTTTTAAGTCATGTTATAATGTTATTACCTCATCAAAAACAGACCTGGAGTTGTGTTTTGTTTCATTTACAGATATTTGAGTAACTCTTTATTATTAGTCTGTCTACATCTCCAAAGCTCATAATGCTCTGTTCCACCTTGTGATGTCATGAAGCGGTAGTTTTCATGTTAACCTTTTACCGGCAATTTCAGGTGTGAAATTATCCAAATGATTCTAGTGAAGGCGTGTGGAGTTTAAAAGTTAAAAAAACAATAGAGCACTTCCTGTATTACCACATGACATCACAAGGTGGAACAGTTTGAGAGAACTCAGCCTAAATACTGTATGCAGGGTTTGTGTGTTAAACATGTGTGAATGAAACAAAACACAACTCCAGGTTTGTTTGTGATGAGGAAACAACATTATAACAGATCAGGAAATAGCGTAATATGGACGATTTAAACTCCACAGTTACATAAATTCAATGTCTTTGGGAGGAAACTGGAGTACCCGAAACCTCCAACTACATATTTCAACTATATGACTTTTTAGACAGACTTAAATAGACTTTTTTGATCCATAAGGGGCATTACTTGGACACAGTAGCTCACACATCGCATTATATTACAATAACAAAGCAGTAAAAGAGCAAAAAATATATATAGAAATAAAGAAAAGATTTCATTAAAAACAAAGTGGTAATTTATTTACACAATTAGCATGTGGTCTTGTAGCTCTGATATTCCAGATCAAGAGCATTTTAATAAAGGTGAAGAGGACTGGCTCATTAGCACTTGTATAGCTGCGGCAAATACAAATGCAGAGGACGACTGATGCAGTGGAAAACCATTTGGTGAGTAATAAATCCTGAAGTAGTATCTAAAATAAAAGAAAATAAAATAAAAGGAAAGAAAGAAGTAAAATAAATACAATAAATAAAAATAATAGTGATAGTGACACATTTTAGCATGAGATGAGCACAAAAATCTACTAAAAAAAAAAAAAAAAAGTTAGAATAGTCTCCATACATACTCAGTACAGATTTTGATCCAAATTATATTTTTAAGTGTGTTATTTTATTTTTTTTTTTTGAATATAGTATTTGTTTATTACACCATGTGAGCTTACAAAAGGGTCAAAAAAGTAAAATTTTATCCAGTTATGCAATTTTCTTATATATTTTCCTATATAATTGCATAAATAAGTATCTTTGATTCTAGTTTAGTATCGATTATCTGATCTTTGATACTTTTGACAACCTTCGTATGGATGGATTAGGGTAAGAAAGTTTTATTTGCAAAAGGATTCAGGCTGTTATTGTGCTGTAAGAAAGAAAGCGGAAAAAATAAAATTAAATAAATTAAAATAACAGTGATAGTGACAAATTTTAAAATGAGAGGACAAATATCGGCTAAAAAAAAACAGACTTTGTACAAATGGTACAAATTTTGATCCAAATGATAATTGTGTGTGTTTTTAATTTTAATTTTTTAATATAGTATTTGTTTATTTTACCATTCAGTCTTACAAAAGGGTCAAAAAAGTAAAATTTAATCCAGTTATACAATTTTTTTTTCAGTATCAGTAATTGCTTAAACACTGTAAGTATCTTCAGTTGTAGTTTAGTATCGATTTAATGATCTTCGATACTTTTGACAACCCTTGTATGGATGGATTAGGGAAAGAAAGTTTTATTATTTATGTTTATTTATGTGTATTCTTACTGTGAGTGGGATCTGACCTGTAAAACAAAAGAAAAGGGTAAAAAAAATCAAATAAATCAACAAAAATAAGAGTGACAGTGACAAATGTTAAAATGAAGGACAAAAATCTGCTAAAAAGTTACCCAATATTCAATTCATGACCATAATACCCAAATCCTTCCCTACCCGTGCAGTGTTGTGTGGTAACCTGATTGTGATTGGCTGTGCGCGCAAATAAGTGGCATTCCCATGATCCACTTGGCACACCGTCTCCAAGCTGCGCGGGCCCGCCCCTCCCATTCCCCCTCCGACGAACCGTCCAACACGCATGGTCCTCGGCTCTCTCCTCTCCAAAGACCAGCAACATCATCCACCGTTCACCCCCGCTAAGGACCTCCTCGCGCCGGCGTGTGCTCGAACATGACCGCTGCCATGCGCCTACGACACCCGCGCAGAATCCAGGACGCAAAACGCACGTAAGTACCGAGATTTATGCGAGAAAATGCGAAAAATTACACCGAAAATGAGTTTCCCGCTTGGTCCTAGCGCCGATAACATGCTTGGCCGCGTCGTTCAATCAAGCAAGTTTATGAGGAGTGACGGCTACTGCGCTGCACTGACGCAAACGCCTTCAAAATCCCAGTATTTTAACCGATTTGACGTGCTTTTCTGAACATAATTACAGCATTACGCGTGACCAAAGAGATCCAAGCCCGAGATATTTTAATATGCAATGTTTTACGCGCATAATTCTTGGTTAATTTACCATTCATTCATTTAAAAGACAGCTTTGATTTGATTTTCTGGGTAAAATTCTGACATTACGCGTGAAATAAAAGCGTATTACTGCGTGGTGTTATAATTCGCAGTGTTTTTACGCGCACAACTGTTCGTAAATTTACCGTACAAGCTATTTAAACACAGCTCCACGTTGCAAAAGCACATGGAGAAGCCCAGACAAGACGTCAAGGGTGCACGGTTTTGCGTAATGCGGTGTTTGTGTGCCCGTGTGGCGATGCATCAGGTAACGCTGGCTCCTTTTGGCTCCGTTTGCCACCTGCTCGGTTCTGAAGCACTCTCAGAACACGGCTGGCACACTGGTGTTTACGCCGTGTGCAGGTGAATGAGCAGAAAGCACGGGGGGTCCTGTGGCGTGTGTGCATTGCGCGTTTGCATGCGTCATTGGTAGAGGTGATTCCGTAGAAAGATGGTATCACTGGGTTGAATTGTGGGATTATACGTGGTTTGATTTAGGATTAGAAGGTTCTGGTCGTGTTGTAGTTTGCCTGTTGAGGGTAATTTGCTTGCTTGTATGTCGTTTTTTTTTCTAAATTGCACACCAATTGCACATTGTTTTGATTTCTGTGGATGGATTTTGGAAAGGAGTGTGGTCAAACGTGTCAAAAATCAGACGTTTTTCAATACTAAATCAAAACTAGATACTCATTTGAGAAGGTATCCATACAAAAAAAAAGTCACAGGACAGAAATTAACCTTTCCTGAAGATCTTTAGAATGATTTGAGCGATATCAGAACAAGCATAAGAGCACATCTACCTCGCCAAACATCAATTATTACATGTTTTGGTTTGGAATGAATTAGTTTTGTCATGATACCAAAATTTTTAACTCAGTACTAAAGAATAGACTCCATACTTGTACAGATTTTGATCCAAATGATTGTAGAAGCTTTTATTGACAATTTATATTATTATTGTTATTGTTATTGTTATTAAAAATGTATAGTATTTGTTTGTTATATCATGTGGTCTTATAAAAAGAGACAGAACAGTAAAAACTGATCTATTGGTTTTCCTTCAGTATCAATAACTGCTTAAATAAGTATCTTAGATTCTAGTTTATCGATTATCTGATGTTCGATACTTTTGTCAACCCTCGTCTGGATGGATTAAGGAAAGAAAAGTTGTATTTGCAAAAGGATTCATGCTGTTATTCTGCTATACATGGAGTGCACAGATGTTTATTGATGTGTGTTTTTACTGTGAGCTGGGTCTCCTCTCTAAAGATCTGACCTGGCTGTAACATGACCTGCTGATGTCACATTCTTGTCTCCATGGGGATAGATAAATTGAATGCCCTACAGTGGCACATTTTAATCAATGCAGTAACCTCCATGGAGACAGAAGTGTTACATACAAATGACAGTGCACCTTTAAGTCATCGCGTATTTTCTCGAACATGAGATAATGCTGGTGTCATGTTGTCCAGGCTGTGACATCTCAGGTGAGCCGTTTCCTGGAGGGTGGATCTGTTGACAGAGTTAAACACACACGCACAGATTAAACTCACCCACACAAAGCCCGGTGTAAAAGCAGGATTCAGCTTTAAATATTTCAGTTGACATTTGTTTACACTGAACAAGCATAAAAAACATATAAGATGCAATTTTTCTTCATTGTGCAACAGGTTTTTACAGATTTCTATATAACAAAACTATCCATATCACAGTTATAAAGCTATTTTTTCTTCATTTAAAATTAAATTAGTATTAAAGGGGCATGTATTTGGCAAAAAAGATAGCCAAGTCTCACGATACGATATCATCACGGTATGATCCTCACGATATGATATTTATTGCGATATCGTGGGAAAGCTCACGATATGGTGGGGAGGCTCACGATTAGGGACGTTACAATTTCCAAATCTCTCTACAATATTTTCACAATATTGTACAGTGAGATTTATATCATCGCGATATTTTGTGGAGGCTAAACAAAACTGTGAATATGCAACTTTTTAGTCTTAAAATGCCTTGATGAAACTTAACCCAAAGAACTAAGACTTAAAAGTGCTTAGAACTGTTATTTCTTCTTGTAGTCTGTGCTGAAATGGAGCAAAGGATCATGGTCTATGTAGTTCCCTCTGTTTTTTTTAAGTTATTGCTGCACCGTAACTCTTAATTTAAGCAAATACACTTGTGAGTCGATATATTGTGATGGTCCATGATATTATTGTGAGAACTTTGACAATACGATATCATGATATTTCGATTGTTACATCCCTAATACACAAATGTATACACTGGGGATGGGCATGATTAGTTGATTAATCGATAATTGATCATTAAGAATTTCATCAATTTACATTCATTTTAATGGACAAACCGAATGTAGGTTGCTGTGCGTAGCGTGACTAAACAGGGGTCTGTACATGTAGCTTTCTGCACTCAGAAGGAGCGAGCAAACACAAACAGTCGGTCAGTCTGCAGCGTACCGAAGCACAAATGTGTATTTAACTATGACTTGTACAAGAAATTCCACGCTTTACATTGCGTTCAGGACAATTGTGAGGCCATGTGCACAGTGAACAAAGCAGCACATATATTTCGGTGTCCAGTGGGAAAAAGTTTTGCCAGGTGAGAGTCGCTCAATGTCGATGACGAGTCCCCACCTCCCACCCCCCGTACGGTGTCCTGGTTTTGACAAACGCAAATATGGTCACACTAACCTGTATTCCACTGAGTCGTGTCGCATCAGTGCACAAAAGCTGTTTTTTTTTCTTCTTAATTTATGCAAATTGGCCATGCGGTTTTAAGTTACGTTTCTGTGAGACTCTCAAACGGTCTGATGTGGCTCTAGAGTGGTTACGGTTTATATGTCGTAAAGTTGAGTTTATTCATGCAGATTAGTAGTGCAGATAGTAATAATAATGATGATAAATTTTAATATAAAAACCGTTAATGATTAATCGATAATCGATCTTAAATCTCCCGACGATTGATTAAGAAAATTGAATCGAATGCCCATCCCTAGTATACATTTTGCAATAACAGTGCGGTCGTTTCACTCAGAATTTTGCTTCTACCAGACAGACCATGTTGATCCTCTTAACCTGAGAGTTGAGGAGGGACATAGAGGAGCAGCCATGTCCAGTCGCTACAGGAGCTCCTCATCAGTGTGGAGAATGTTGAATGTGAAACGATTTCATGGAGTGGCCTGATGACAAACATACAGACCCAAAGATGAACCAACATGATATTTTATGCTTGTAATATTGTCTTAGTTGTCCCTTGGAGTTCACCCCCCCTCCCTTTGCCCCTCCACTGCACTTACAGCCTCCCCTCTCCCCGTCTCCCTGCTGCCACCTGCCCATTGTCATGTGCACCTGGCACTGTGCCCATCTCCTGTCTGGTGCCCTGTGCAGGTGTCTGTGCTGAAAGCTGATGCCCCCCCTGAGCTCGTGGGGTGTGGTGGATTTTGTTAGGTATTCTGGCAGCGCCCTCAGCCGTTGTCCCCGGTGTGATATTGTGCACGGTGAGGCCTGGTAATTGCCCTTCTCGCTGGCAGGTGCAGGCAGGTGCCGACAGGTGCAGACAGCGCTGTTTGTTTGTGTAATGAAGCTGCTACTGCTGCGCTCAACAAGGATACAGTGGAAGTCATGTGCCCCAGTGAGGAAAAGGACACTTCCACAAATAGTTCTAAAATGTGTTATTGGACTCAAGAACATTTACTCAAGACACAGGTTTTAGTTTTATTTGGAGAAAACGTCACTATATTTAAAATTTAGCCAAAAAAAATCCTATCCGGTGTTTTGGTAAAGTTAATAGTTTTTTTTTTTTGTATATAGTTCAGTAAAATTATTATAAATATTTATAATTTATTGTCCATTTAGGGAAATTTATCCTTTGTATTTGCTCCGTCAACCAGTGCCCCGAGGCAGCCTCTCTGGAGCAGTTGGCAGCCGCGGAGCATTCCCCAGGGACCCATCTCCACATCTTGAGGTGGGAATTTGCTCAGGAGAGGAAGATTAGGTTAGGAAACCTGAAGAGCCGTGAAATCTTGAGATGCTGTGAGGCTAACTACTCTGCCACTACTCGGACTTTTCATAACTAAATCTGCACCATGAAATGTCTGATGTATGGAGCTGATTTTAGGTGAGAGGAGATCATTTTCTGAAAGTAAATTGTCAGATTTAGCCAGCTTTACTCTTTATTTGATGTGGAGGAGTTGCTGCATTTTCCCATTTTAGTGTTAAAATGGTTGTGAGAAGTAACGTCTCAATTTCACAACTCTTCACTCGCACTGACACCATGACCGCACAGTGAAACAGTGAAATCCTTTTCATCATTCAGAAAGTTTGTTCTCATAAAGCTGGTCACACACAGTAATGGTAATGTTAAGTTAATGTGATAGCCACATAAAACATGCTTAAAGACTACGGATGTGTAAAAATATTGAAATATCGATATCACATTAAAAGATATAGTATGATACAGCATCGATATCGTGGGCTGCTATATCAATATATATTTTTGGCATATTTTACTGAATTATTTTGTTACAGTGCTACAGTTTTGTCGTTTGTTTAGAGGAAGGAGACTCATTTATGTGACACATTTGACATTTTCACTGTTTTGATGATTAAAATGTGTGTGTTTCATTTGAACTTTGCACAAGAAGTGGTTTAACAAAGACTTTTAGTATCACAGTCATGATTTAGCTTTTATTTTTAATGAA